GTACATGATACAGTACAACATGTACAATACGGTAGGGTGTCAAGTTACCGAAAGCCGGTACGGTAAACTATGTCTTGTGAGTTGTGGATGTCTGATGCTGATGATGTCCGAGGTCCGAGGTGTTTAATAAAGGAAAAAGGCGAGACACGTAGAAAATGTACTAGCGCTACTGCCCAAAAATGGACCAAAACCTTACTGGGCCTTTTTGAATGTCTCACTTTTCGCTTAAAAAAAAGGCAGCACAATGGCGGAAACACAAGAGTCGCCGACGGCAACAGTTTGTCTATTACAAGAGTTGAGTAACTACATCTCAGCTCGCTGACCAACGTCTTCATCATCAAAGCTCGCGAGATGGTCTTGGAGGACGCCAAGCAGAGTACGGGCTCTATTCTGATTCAACAAACTGAGATTGGTCTCTACTGCGGCCGCAGCTTGTCCAGTCGCAACAGCAAGCTGTGTGTCTTCCAGCGGAATGTGTTCTTCCTGTAGTCGCGTCAATTCTGCTTCATCTTCTTCGGTCCATCCTGTACTGCCGTCGTCTTCTGGAGCAGCTAGATAAGACAGTAGAATCGCCTGTTTGTTGCCACTTCCTTTCGTGCCATTTTTGTAGAGATGCAATGCCTCCAAGTCGGTCTTCCGGAACTGATTGATCGTCTCCAGTGTCGGCTCACCAAGTCGCTCAATAATAGCATCAGCCGCGACTTTGTAGACTTGCACATTTTGGTTGGATTCTTTCTTCTTCTCTAGTTCCTCGATCCGCTGTTCCCGAAGACGGTAGTTGTGTGCTTGGAAGACCTCATCTGCATTCAAATGTTGTCCATGGGTAGCACAGAAATGGCCACTAGCTCCCTTGGCAGTTGTAGCAAGCACACGAACACGTTCCATTGAATTGGCCTGTGTGACGGATGTAAAATGTTCAGCAGATTGAGTTTCAACAGCAAGGCGCAAACGATTTCCATCAAATCCCAATGTAGAGAGGAAATCGCAATGCATTTTGTTAGATGCCTCCATCGCCAACAACTCTTCTGCCTCCGGGGACAAGTCTTCATTGACACTCCCATCGTTGTTGAGTACCAGCTGCTGACGGAGACGACTGTCTTGGAGTGGACTTCTGGTCAACGGAACAGCCCCGCACTTGATCCAACATCGAAGGTTCGCTTCTTTGTTGAAAGCAAACTGAAATGCGTTGGTCAACTCGACACCACTCAACCTATCTTTTCCACCGAAAACAATTAGAGGCAAGTCGTTGATGTGCATGGGCTTATCCATGTCAAATCGCGCTTGAGAGAGGGCATGCAAGTTGCCTCTATAAGCCGTCTTGAAGGGGCCATAGTTTTGATCAGTCTCTTGAGTCAAACCGGTGGTATTGGGCACACCAGGAACAAGATATAGGCCCCGGATTCGTAGAGCAGCCAGCATGTTCTGTTCTGTACGCCCAGGTCCACTGTCTACCTTGGCAATCACTCGTTTTCCAGGTGTGTCGGCAATGTCTGGGAAGAGTGGAAGGATCGAATTACGCATGTATTTCTCGAGTTCAACAGCATTCATACCAGCCTTTTCGTTCAAGCCGAACGTACAGGGTAGTAGCTTTTCCTCTGCATGGCCGAACTGGGCTCTGATGCTATGAGAATAGGGCAATACGTCCAGGTTCAATTGTTGTCGTTCATCAGAAGCTGTAGACTTGAGTTGAAAGTGCACGGGAAGAGGTTCTCCGGCGGCACTAGATCCGCAAATAAGAGTCGCTTTGTAGCTACTCTTGTTTGCTTGCGAGGCCCCTCCAGATAAACCCGGAACATAGAACACCAAAGGAGGACGACCGCCACGTTGACCAGTAGTGTTGTCAATCCCTCCATCGGTCTCATCGAAGTTTATAATGCGACGGAGCTGATCAGGTGCAATGACCACTTCTCCTACCACATCCAAATCTTCTTCCGTCTTCCAACGTCCAAAGCCAAGATCAACCAGTAGATTGCCCCAAGTCCCAAACCAGACATTGAGGTTGGCAAACGTAGTCCATTGTACACGTCGTTGTTCTTGTGTATTGCCCTTTCCGCGGCGAATTGTGTCAGCATTGTTGGATGCAATCTTTCGGGCCAAATGATTTCCTGTTTTGTTGTGGATTCCTGCTGAGTTGACACAAGCATTGACACGTCTACCCATCTGCTCCAGAGTAGCTTGCTTCTTGCCGTTCGCATGTAGTATCATCAAGAAGGAAACGTAGGCACCATCCAAAGCTTTCATGACAGGTGGAGGCAAGTCTCCTTGAGGACCGCGTTTCTTTGGGGAGACTCCAATGCGACCTTCATTCACCATTCGATTGACAGAAGACTTGTTGATGTTGGTTCCAAGTCGTTTGTTCACATCTCTGACAATCTGGTTGGCTGCTTTCTTCTCTGCGTGATCGGCTGGGAGCTTCTTGTTGTGGGCAACTAGCTTGGTTGCAATTTTGTATGCCTCTGCTTCGCCTTTTCGCTTTCTCTCTTTCGCTGCATCATCGTTTGCTTTCTGAATGGCCGTTCGACGACCAGTCTTCTCGGGCTTGTCGAGTTTGAGCTTCTTGGCCGCTTGTTCACACGCTGACTCCAATGACGGCATTTCCGAAATGGAACTGGAACGGGACCGAGTGCGAATGGTGTCGGCGTCGGTGTCGGTGGTGGCAGTGGTGGCAGATGCGGCGGAACTCATCGTTGTCAATTGCGATCCATTGGTCGTTGCTGTGTTGGCGACTACTACGGTTGTTGGTGGAGGAGTGCGCTCCAATGCGTTCGGTTGAACAGAAGAGCCCATCGTGACAGTGACAGTTTTCGATTTTCGGAGCACTCTACGCTCGAGCGATCGATTCCGCTCCTCTTCGGTGAATCCGGCCATTCTCATTGCTTCCATCACGGAGACTTTGCCTCTACAAGCAGCCACCATCTCCGCCGCGAATTGCTCTCTTGCGTCTTCCACCGACGCCATGGTGCCGTTCGATATAGTGACAAGCTAGTAAGACATTATGGTCCATGGGTTGTTACCAATTCTGGCGACTTCTGGCGATGAGACCCGAAGGTCCGTGAAAGGATCTAATTTAACACGATTCGCTGCTACTAAAAAATGGCATGCCGAGAACGACGATGAGAGTAACAACAACAACGCTTATATGTTATCCTACTAATCAGAGGCTGCTCTATCGATTGGTGCCATCGGCATAGTCGTAGGTCGATGCTATTGTTGTTGTTTAGTTGGATATCATCGTCGCGTTCCTCTTTCGGACCAAATTCATTTTTTCGTGTCTCATCGGACTGGACCAAAACCGGTTTTATACTCGTACCTAGCTAGCAGACATATCCTGCCTAACTCTGATAGGTTTCTTCCTGCTGCATGGTAGCTTGTACCCTTCAGAATACTACGGACTGTGGTACCGCAGACCTAAACAAATCGCAGCCAG